GGGGGGCTCACGCACTTTGAATTCCTCGGGTTGTGCCCGTCCTTGTGCGACCAGGGCCAGGGCCTCCTTCAGTCCCCCCAGACGGAGCCCCTTCACCACCTGCTCGACAACCGGTCAAACCACGAACCGGCGGCGAAACACAATAAGTCGATGAGCCAACAAATACTTGGAACCCCAACAAACATTGATGGGGGTGGNGGGTAGAGACACTTGATTGTAGTGGTAAACCACATGACCGGATTATTGTGTTGTCCCGATCATCAGGTCTCCACCTTGTGCCGAGCTGATTATTTGTGGTTGCCGTTGAACTCTTCTGATAACTTCCTCCTGTGTGTCCCCGGCTGATGGATACCGGATGGCAAAGACTGGTGCCAGCGCAGATTGGGCGAACACACGCACGCGCCACATGACATCACGCCCCTTCGCGTGGTCCCACATACTGTAACGTCGTTAAGGAACATTGTGTGTTTCAACCGCACTGAGACTGACGACGTCTTTTCGTTGGTCAGCCGGATACCGCTGTCAGTGCTAATAATAAACACCCACATCGAAACACACGTGTCCGAGAATAGAAACAAAAGCACATTACACGACCGATCTCCTGCCTGGGCGTATTCTGTCCCTCCACCCCTCTCATTCCCGGGGTTTATGATGCCGAGATCGTGAAAACTCGAAAATCCGGGTGCTTCCACGTAACATTTCGCTGAACCATCGGCCTTCGCCGAATTCAGAAGAAGAAATCAGATCACATCTATTCGAATAACACCAACGCTTGGAAACAGTGGAAACAAAACTTTATGACTGAGTGAAAGAGCATCGTTTGGATGTACTTCGTAAGTGATAAACACAACAACAGTAACATCGGGTGACACAATAACTTTGAAAAAAACGACTGGACAAAAAAGGGGAAAAATATCGTTAAAACATGAACAGAGGTATGCATCATACCTCCATGCCCGGGACGTCCTCCCGTCCGTGCATGAGGTTCACCACATCTAGACCGTCATCACGTGCACCAGTCACGTCGCCCCCCATGTACAGCACCTGCTCACAGACAAGAAGGTATTTTATTTTTCGACTGATGATCGGTTAACAATAAATGTCCAGCACGATCTCTATCAGAAAAAAGTGCATATACTATGGAATGCCTATGCAAACTAGTAAATCAATGACGAACAATGACCAGGCGGGGGGCACGCAGATCCAAACCCCCACCTCCAACTGAGCCGATTCTTTACTTTATCCAGTATGTTTGCTTACTTGGAAAAACCCGCGTGGGCTACAGATACAACCCGAGAAAAACTGCCCGTTCGAGATATCACCACAGTCGAAGGGGATGTGTTGAAGTTGTTGCAGTGAAAGGGGGCATAAAACTGCTGGATACTGAGCTTATTGAGTCCATATGTGTTGGAAGTCATTAACAGCAGTGAGTGGGAGAGAAACCGACTGGATACGGGGCTTATTCGAGTCTATTTTTAGACTTGCACTGGGGTATTAACAGTGATGCCAGCTGGCGCTAATCTGTTCGCAGGGGAGAGCGCTACACAGCGAAGGCTCTTGAGCTCCACAGGCATGCCTTTTTTTCGCTGTCACCCTACACACAGCGTCTGCAACCCCCCCGCCCTTCCCCAGATTTGTCTGATTGACGTGGTGCTCAAATCCCGGGTGAAAAACGAGTCCGATTGATACATGGCTTCGACGTTGCTTCATCTGGGGCGGTTCAGTTTGAAAGTACCATGGCTGAGGTAGACGGATCACGCCTTCGTTGTCCTTCCATCCATACTCCTTTTCATCTGTCTGCACACGATGGAAACCCGATAGCCAACCAGCACCAGCAACAGCGCTTCCACGCGGAACAACAAGCCACATCACCCACGTTATCCTCCATGCCGGGGACCGATTGCAAGTCTCCCTTGCACACGTCCCCCATGGTGAAGGTGGTCGGTCTGTTCAGGATGAGGGCCACCGTGCCGTCGTCGCCATGCTGGATCACCAGCGCAACCGCCTTGTAAAAGTACTGCTGCTGGGTCACGAACATGCCCTGCTTGGCTATCACCAAGCACCCCAGCTCCGGCCGAACAAGCGGATGCGCCCACCTTGACAAAAGGAGGCGATTTTCGGGGG